TGGGAGCGGCGGGCTCGGGCTTGTCTTGGAAGAGGCTCTGGATGTCTTTGAAGGAGGAGCAAGAGAAGTTGAAGGAGCGAGATCGAGAATGTGACGGCGAATGCCGCCACACACTCTACTGGAAACCATAACAAATTGGTTACACTTTTTAAAAACAAAAATAAAAATTAAATGCAATGACGTGGCAATTTATGATTGGAGAGACAGGGTTTGGAGACAGGAGTTGGAGACAAAAGATTTTCATCCGTGAAATGGTGGGTGGAGGGCAGGGGGGACCGGTGTAGCCGGCGATGATTCAACACCTATTAATTTATGTTGCATTCTTGGTCCACACGTTACGAGAGAGTGTGTGTGCAATATGAATATATGAGAGGTAGGGCAAGATTAATATTATAATAATGTCGTCGTCGAGAATGGTGCACGTCCTCTCCGTGCTTTTCCTCTGTGCTGTCACGTATTAATATTATAATAATGTTCCTCTGCGCTATCTCCGGGGGGACCGGTGTAGCCGGCGATGATTCAACACCTATTAATTTATGTTGCATTCTGGGTCCACAGGTTACGAGAGAGTGTGTGTGCAATATGAATATATGAGAGATGTTAGATAATCTTAAATTTTAGAGATATCCGAGTTAGTTGTCTCAATTATACTTCTTTTTAGACAAGACTTGTTGAACAATTCCACTCATCCTATGCACCCTTGCAATATAATTGTTCTCTTTTTGATTCAATTTTTTTGCAGATATAGCTAACCCAATTTCATCTAACAATACCTTGATACACCTCATTTTTTGTGCAGGTATTGAGTGAAGAATTGAAAGTTGAAGACCCATTGGATTGGAAATTAAAGGAGCTAAGGAGCAGGAGAAGAGTAACTACGTCGGGCGCAAGACTACCCGCGTCAGGCTTGAGAAGAACAGAGAGACACACTCTCTGCAATTCAGAAATGCGTCAGGTGCAAGAAGACGCATCGGGCATGCTCAAGACAGAGAGCAACTCAAACTCTCTAGAAGACATCGTGCCCGGCTTAAAAGAAATTGCGCCGGGCGTGTCTTGAGACAAAGAGTAACCAAACTCTCTGGAAGGCCCTGCGCCGGGCGCAAAGCATAATGCGTCGAGCGTGGTAACCCTAATCTAACTCCCCCAACTCGTATTTGAGAAAGTCTTTGAGGATTTTACTCTCATTCACACATTGGGCGACTTCTAGGAGTTGAGGAAGGGATTCCCGGTGCTTGGGACCGTTCGTGTGTGGGTCTTTCCTTCGGTTCTTCCATCTCTCTTCCATCTCTATTTTTGTTTCACCCTCATTGTTTTGAGCAGTTTTACCCATTATTTTGTGGGGTTAGATGTAACCAGCGAAACTCTTATGTAATCTTTACATTTTTGATGATATATATATATATATATATA